CGTGAAGCAGGAGCTCTGCCGTGGGCCGGGCAGCCAGGCAGCCTCATGGGGGCCTGGGGCCGTCCTCTGGGCCACAGCTCCCTATATATCCCGATGATGACAAAGGCCCTTCCTGCCAGGACGCAGACCCCCCCATTACAGGGAGACACAGTGTCGAGCCCAGGACCCCACGAGTGCATGCCAGGGACAGGCCCATGCCGGGTTCCGTCTCCCCACCACCCAGCTGGCCCTCACTCTCCTCTCAGCCCAGGGACACTGTGAGGGAGCAGCGTGTGCCCCCTGAATGCCTCCAGGACGCCCCTGTTGGACAGAGAAGGACTTTGCCCAGAGACACCAGCATGTCACTTTCTCAGGCCTAGGGGACAAGCCCCCACTTCTGGCCGAGCCCTGCAGGGGGCACAGCCAGAACTGCTCTTCTCTTTCAGTCACCTGGCAGATGGCCCCTGAGCACCTACTGTGCGTGGCCAGCTCTGGCCCTGGCACAAGGCAGGACCAAATGGTTCTAAGCCTCGATGGGCGTACTGGGGGGAGGTGGCCAGAGCACAGCAAACCTCGGAGTGAGAGGGGTGGACGAGAGGGCTAGAGGGGGACCAAGGAGGTCCCAGCCTGCCTAGGACCCCCCACGGGCTCCCTTTGCCCCTGAAGCCTCAGTTCTTACACCCTGGTTAGGGCCAGACACCCTGCGGGCCCGCAGTCCCGTCCCTGGGGCGGGAGCTTCCCTCAGACTCCCCAGGCATGCTCTCCTCGCCCTCTTCCCACCTCCCGCCTGCCCCTGACTGACCACCTGCTGCACCTGTTTGTCCGTCCACCTGTCCATCCGGGCAGCTCTCCCTGAGCATCTGCTCCAGGGGCAGCAGTCAGACCAAATCTGACCACGTGGTAACAGGTGCCCCAGGCTGACAACTGGGGAGGCTGCGCTCCTTGGAGGGGGCCGTGAGCAGAGGCCCCGCCTGAGTAGGGAGGGTGCTGGCCAGCCTGGGGGAGGCAGGGGGGCCTGGAGCAGCAAGTGGGGGCAGGAGCCCTCTGGTGGGTGCCAGGCAGGCAGAGCACGGGCGGGCGGCAGAGCGATCGCTCCCATGTGCTCCCTGCACCACCCGCAGGGCCCCCGCAGGTCTCAGGGCCTCCCTGAGCCTTGGTCTGACATGGGGACGGTAGCTGGGAGGTGTGATGCCCGCTGGCTCCCTGCGAGATCCTGGGAGACGGGGTGGGGAGAGGGCTGTGCCGCCTCTGGTCTCAGACCCACCAATCAGCCGCCCTGGGCCTCGGCTTCTGTGGGTCCCGCGAGGAGGGGCCTGAGGACACCCCCCACTGCCGTCCTCTCGGCAGAGAGCCATGGTCTCACTCGTGACCAAGGTAAACACACGGCCCCTGCAGAGCGCCAGGCCCAGGGCGTTGGTCCATCTTCCGGTTCGGTCCTCCAACAGCCCCCACTGAAAACCCCATTTCTCAGGTGAGGACCCTGCAGCTCAGAGACCCCCAGCGAGGCAGTGGCCAAGCTGGGTAACTATCCACACACGCCCCCAGCAGTGACTCCGGGACAGGGTAGCAGACGCTGCCCCGGTTACACGCCGTCCATAAACACACAGCTCCTTACTTAATAACTGCACTGGGCAGGGACCAATCATCTGTGTAATTGAAGGATTCGCTACGGGGGCGAGAGGTAAAGAAACGCACTGTCTGGCGTCCTGCCGGGCGCTGCCCCGGGCTCGTGGAGGGGGGTATGTCCACAGAGGTGGCTTCCTGGGGGCGCAGGAACCGTGCCTACCTGGCGAGTCCGAGGCCCCTCAGGTGGCCCCACTGGCCTCTGACCCTCTCCTCGCGCAGGCACGGCTCCCATCTCGGGAGCTGGCGGCTCTGTCCCTGCTTTGCCAGAAGGGGCTGTGTCCCTCCCTTCCTGGCACTGCAGCTCTAAACACCGCTGCTAACTACACTCGACTGAAAACTAACACGGACTCAACGCTGTCTCCATGCTACTCGTGAACTAACTCATCTAACCCCCAGCCATCGCCGAGGTCGATCTCTTAGTTCCCACATCTTCCGGACGAGGAAACTGAGGCAGAGAGATCAGGCACCAGGAGACAGACACCCCAGCCCCACCCGCTGGTCTCTGGGCCAGCTGCAAACGAGTCCCCTTCGGTCAGGGTCCCAGCTTCAAGCACGTGCTGACCGGCACGGGTTAGGGAAGCAGCTCGCATTTACCCAGCACCCTGGGCTCTGAGCAGCCTGCACCCGGCATGTCCGGCTCCCTCTTCAGCGGTCCCCACTGCACAGGGCAGAAACCAAGCCAGCGAGTCTGGCACAGATGAAGGCGGCCTGCCCGAGGCCCCAGTCCACGCGCCCTCCTCACTCCACAGGGGCCCTGCTAGGCCCTCCCTCCCGGAATGGGGCGCACAGCAGCCTCCCTCAGGCACTTTCCGTTCCCCTTACAGGGCGTGGGGTTCTAAGGGCAGCTGTGCAGCCTGCTGTATCCCACAATCCCTCACCCCCCGTTTCCTAAGGCTCCCCAGGCCCAGAAAGGGACAAGAGGTGAGCGCAGGGCCTGGCACCTCCCCTGGACCCTGAGACCCAGAGCGGAGAAGCACCCCCAGACACCAGGCAGAGGGAGGGGAGGAGGGAGCTGGGGGCGGAGAGACTGGGCATGGGGAGCCACTGAGTCCTCCCTCCCCACCTGTCACGGAGGAGCCTGGCCCGAGGGGGAGACAGGACTCCCCAGACCCAAAGGCACCAAGGAAGGACACCCCCCTCCACAGCCCTTTGGGACCCCCACGTGCAAGCTCCCAGGAGCTCCGGAAGTGGGCTGTGCCCACGGTGGTGACAGCCATGGGCTGCAGGGCCTCGCGTCGGCTGGCTGAGTGGGCAGTGCGTGGAGCACGCCGCCCATGGGCCCTCGCCCCTCTCTCCACAGCCACCCCCAGCAGCATCCTGGTCATGAAGTCCTGTGCCCCGACGTGCCCCAACAGCACCGTGTCCTCGGATGGCCGCGCTCTCTCCGTCTCCTGCTGCCATGGCAGCCAGTGCAACCACAGCGGGGCTGCAGGCCTGGCTGGTGGCCACGGAGCCCTGCGGGTCAGCACCTCGGCCAGCCTGCTGTGGGCACTGCTCCGGGCGGCCTGGTGAGCCCACTCACCACTGGCTGGCCCTGGATCTGGCCTGTCCCCTCTCGGCCTGAACTCAGGCTGCAGGGGTCTGTCTCCAGCCTGTGAAGCTCCCAGCACACCCCCACCCTGGTGGGAAGAGCCCCCATCTCGCCTGTCACTCCTCCCTGCTTCCCCCAGGCCACACCCAGCCCCTCAGCCTTCTACCCCAGAGAAGGACGCTCCCCTCTGCCTCAGGGAACCCACCCATGTGGGAAGCCGAGGGGGGCACGCCTCCCCCAGGCCTGCACCTCAGAGGGAACCTCAGCCCTCTCCTGGGATCCTGGGGTCCCCCAGCCATCTGGGAGTGGGAAGAGTGCCTCAATTCTCCCCAGCACCCTCCACTCTTTTTCAGGGGCTTCTGCTGGCGACTCTTTCCCATCAGCCCCTGCCTCGAAGGAGCCCCCTGTGCTCCATGGCCACTGGGCCCCTCGGCCTCCTCCTGTGCCTGGAACTGCCCATGCAGGAGGAGGCGGGTCGGGGGTTTGGATGTTGATTCTCCCGGGCTTTCTATTTACGCCACCAGCCACTCCTGTGCTCCCTCATTCATCCCTCCCTCCATCTATCCTTTGGCGCATCTACTCTTCCCTCGTTCACTCACATTTCAGCTGGTGCATTCATTCATCACAAACCCACGGGGCTTCCTTGGAGCCAGGCACCCCGACGAGAGCCGGCAGGGACCCACCTCCCAGGCTCTCCCTCAGGGGCTCGGTGTGTGACCAGTGCCCAAAGTCCAGGGACAGGACGGGGGGTCCAGAAGGCCACTGTCACCCCCGCTGGCCCCTGCCAGCTGAAGGCAGGCCTTTCCAGTGGTCCCCTGGCCGCCTGCTGTAGGGTGGACCAGGTCACCCAGGGCATCAGTGTCGGGCATCGGGATCGGGGGGCGTCCATTCTCACTTGGCAATGGGGGCCATCCTACGTCCCCCAGAGGCACCCTCTGCCAGCCCACCTCCCAGGATCTCTGAGAGGAGAATAAAGCTGCACGTCCTCCCTGCCCTCATTATCTGAGACGTCGAATCTGGGGGGGTTCTTGTCCTGGTCCTGGTGGGGTGGAAGCCCCCTGCACCTCGGGAGCAGGCAGGGGCACGTTACACGGGGGTGGGTAGAACTCTGGGAGCACAAGCTCGGGTGGGGAAGGAGCCCACTTTCCTCTTATCTGAGAAGCTGGGGTCTATTCCAACCCCCGGCCAGGGTGGCAGAAACATGCTTTCAGGAAACCCCAAGTTGGGGGTTCACATGGGGTCCTGTAGGGAGCCCCTCTCAGCCTCGGTGTCCCCCCGCATAGGTGCTCAGCCCCACAGTGCGCCCTTGCACCCCCACTATTCTGCATCCCCCACTGGGGCACAGGCGCCCAGGGATCTTCCTGGGGGGCAAGGCCAGAGGCCCCCAACTCTCTAGCAGCTTTGCTCTCTGCACCTGTGCCCGGGGCCCCTCCACGGGAGCCCGCCCAGGTCCTCACACCCCCGGCACCCTCGGGGTCTCCCTGCTCCCAGCCCGCGGAGCCCAGCCCTGGCCCACCTGCCTCCTCCCCGCTCCCCAGAGGCCTCTCCTTGAGGCTTGCTCTAATCGAGGAAGACACAGCCTTTCCCTTCCCCCACCTCTCTGTCCCTCACATCCCTTCCCGGGTGACAAGGACAACCGTCCAGGCCCGGTGAGTAGGGACGGGCCTCCCGCCTGCCCCGCAGAGCCTGGCTGCCTCCCTAGACGGGCGCGGGCCTCAGTCCTGGGAACCGAGGAATTGGGCGGCAGATGTGCAAGGCAGACAGACAGTCAGCCTCCCCCACCCCTTCCCCTCAGCCTCCACCCCTCCCACCGCCCGCGGGTCCCAGAACGTTCCCACGCTCGCCCTAAGGGACACAGCCCTTCCTGTTCCCAGCAGCCACCTCTCTAGTCTTGCAGGACCGCTGCCCCGAGTGCCTGCTTGCCCAGCCCGCTGTCATCCCCTGTGCCTGTGACAGTGCTGTGGTGGCCTTTCTGTCGGGGAGCACAGTGCTCCCAAAGGGCGCAGGGAAGCAGAGGGCTCAGACCAGTGGGAGGCACGGCCTTCGTGCAGGGTTTCTGCCCACTGTGTCTGCACCTTGGATGTCTAGAGGACAAGGCGGGCTGAGGGGGGCCTTGCCTTGAAACAAGGACGTCAGGATTCCTTTGGGGCCCCTCTGAGCCTCCAGCACAATCTCCCTGCTGCTGGGCTCTGGGGACCCAGGAGGAGGTCGGTGTGGAGTCCATGGGGCGGCCATTGCAGGAGCAAAGTTGGGGCTCAGGGTTGGGCGACCCCACCCAGCCTTGGGAGCTTGGGGTTTCTTTTCTTAAGAAGGGTGGGAATTTCCTCTCATGACTCTCCTGTCTGACGAGCCTTCCCTCTGGGGCAGCCCCACCCCTACAAGTCCCAAGGGGAAACCGCACTGGATGCCACACGACAACCCACAGCCTCCTCCTCCAAGAGCGTCTGCAGTCAGAAGTGAGGGTGGGGTAAGGAGACTGCTTCCATACAAAGATATGAGTCTTTGCTCGCTACAGAGGAGGAAACTGAGGCACAAAGAGCTTTCTGGATTAACTCTTGGGTTGGCAGAGTGGTCCGCGCCGAAGACTGAGCCCCTCCCCACAGCCCTTAAATCCATAGACACTCAGAGAGAGCGGCTGCATCCCAGGATCATGTGGGCACCGGGACACCACAGTGACAGAGCAGGCACGGGGGCCGCAGCCAGCAAACCGACCAACGAATGTAGGCCCACAGCTCCTGCCCAGGGATGTGGCGGAGGCCCAGGTCGTGCGGGAGCCAGCTGCCTCCCCGAGGGCAGGGAAGGCCGCAGGGACAGCTGGTGCACCGGCCGGGAGGTAGGACGGCTTGAGGACTGCCAGGAGACCCATGCCGTGGGAACACCGAGGGTGGCAGCGGGTGAGCCAGCGGCAGGGCTCGTGGGCAGCAGGACATGGGGCTGGGTTTGACACTAAGTGTCCCTAATGCTGCCTGTTTAGGGAGGAGCATTTCTGGGTGGTGTGGGGGTGGGGCCACAAATCGAGGGCTCAGGCTGCGACCTGTTACTCCTGAAATGCCCAAGGGAGGCCTGGGCAGGGAAGGGGGGGAGGTGGCTGGAGCCCAGAGAGCTGGGGCTGAGATGAAAGGAGCAGCATCTCCGTCCCTTTGTCCCTTTGGCTCCACGTGTCACAATCCCTCCACCCAGCATCCCCTGCTCCCCAAGGAGCCGCCCTGCTCCCTCCTTACATAACATTCTCCTGTTGGGATGACACAGGCCCCTTGATTCCCTAAGCTCCTGTGATTGTAGTAAGGAGCTCCCTGGCAGGGCCCAGTGTGGGACCCACCTCCCTCCCCTGGGGGCCTGTCTCCACACCCAGAGCAGCTGCAACAACATGCAAACCCCGAGGCCAGGCTGAGCAGAGAGCAGCTGAGCTGGGCTGTTCCAGATGCGAAGCTCAGCAGCCGCCTGGGGCCCCGAGGAGCAGAGACTGGGTCTCCTCAGCTCCCAGGCCGCGTGGGGACAGGGCAGTGTGAGTCTCCAGGCCCTGCTGGGCACTGGACAAGCCTCAGGAACCTCGTCTGCACAATGCAGGGTCTAGACAGGGGCTGCAATCTGGGTCTCGCTGGAAGACTGAAGCCCTCCCCACACGTACTGGGGAAGACAACAGTCCCCCTCTGACAATTTCATTAGCTGTTTCCAAAAAATCTGTATGTTTTAAGTGGGCAAAAGATCTGAACAGACATTTTTCCAAAGAAGATACACAAATGGCCAACAGGCACACGAAAAGATGTTCAACATCACTAATTGTCAGGGAAATGCAAATCAAAACTACAATGAGATATCACCTCACGCCCGTCAGAATGGCTATAATTAACAAGCAGGAAATAAAGAAGTGTTGGAGAGGATGTGGAGAGAAGGGAGCTCTCATACACTGCTGGTGGGAGTGCAAACTGGTGCAGCCACTATGGAAAACAGTATGGAGAGTCCTCAGAAAGTTAAGACTAGAACTTCCACACAATCCAGCTATTCCACTGCTGGGTATTTATCCAAAGAACACGAAAACATGAATACGTAAAGATACATGCACCCCTGTGTTCTCTGCAGCATTATTCACAATAGCCAAGACTTGAAAGCAACCCGGGTGCCCATCAAAGGATGAATGGGTAAAGAAGATGTGGTATATATACGCAATGGAATACTACTCAGCCATAAAAAAAGATGAAATCATGCCATTTGCGACAACATGGGTGGACCTTGAGGGTATTGTGCTAAGTGAAATAAGTCCAGAGGGAGAAAGTCAAATACTGTATGATCTCACTCATAAATAGAAGACAAAAACAACAACAAACAAACACATAGAGACAGAGATTGGACTGGTGGTTACCAGAGGGGAAGGGGGGAGGGAGGAGGGTGAAAGGGGTGATTAGGCACATGTGTGTGGTGATGGACCGTAATTAGTATTTGGGAGGTGAACATGATGTAATCTATGCAGAAATTAAAATATAATGATGTATACCTGAAATTTATATAATGTTATAAACCAATGTTACCTCAATAAAAAAAAAAAAAAAAAACTTTTTTAAATTCCAGCCTGTCCTGGCAGTGTTTTAGTGGGGCTTAGAGAGTGGCAGCACCCAGTAAGGAGCCATTTTACGTTCCCAAGGAACAGAGGACAAAGTGACAAGGGTGGCGGGGCATCAAGGAAAGAAACTTAGACCGCTCTGTGTAAGAGATACTTGTGCCAAAGATGGACAGAAAGACCAACAGGGCACGTGATATACCTAAAATGTTTATTTCCCTCCTAAAGGTTAGAATAAACGATGTCCTCCCGAAGCCCCCCTCCCCCAAGTTATCACATAATCTCAAGTAAAAAGAGAGTGTCTGCATGTCGGGTGTTGCAAGTCCCAGAGCTGTCGCCAATGACCTGCAGACCGAAGGCTCTCCAAGCGCCCCCGGCTTCACTCCATGGTCTCTGAGAATTACTGTTTTCTCTTGTCAGGGGCAGGTGTGTGTGTAAATAAGAAAGGCAACAGGGGAGAGGAGAGAGAGACACCACTCTAACTATCTCCTAGAGAACACATAAGTGGTATGAGTGGATGAAGAGATAGGTGGATGGATAGATGGGTGGATGAATACGTGGGTGGACGGGTGGGCAAGTGGGTGGATAGATGGATGGACGGGTGGATGGATGATGGATAGATGGGTGGATGCATGGGTAGGTGAGTGGGTAGGTGTTGGGAGCAATTAAGGGCAGAGGAGTGAGAAAGGAGAGTGAGGAGGGTCCTACATTCTACCCTGGAAACTACACCCACGCTGACATGGAGCTCAGCCATTCACAGCCACAAGCTCCAGGCTACAGCAGGAGGTGCAGTGGGCCAGGCACAGCAGTGGGGGACCCCAGGCGTAGAGCGTGGGCACATATACTCTGCCCTTCCCTAGAAACCTGGAAAGAGCTTGTCCTGGCCTGGGGAGAGTCACCCCCCAGAGGACCTGACCCTCAGGCTCGTTGGGTTCTGCACTTCCAGGGCTCCACGTTCTACGAGCCCATCCTGCAGGGGCCTGTGGTCCTGG